TGGGTTGCAGGCCAATCCCAACATAGCCTATGGGATTTTGTTTCTTCCGTTTCTTGTATTTATGGTTGATGTGGGGAGACTTGTTATCCTCACAATTTACCCTTATTAGCTAAGCTAGTTGTCTACATTATCCATGAAGCCATACTCCACGTTAAAGGGTAAAAATTTCACGCTTGATACATATAAATACTAACATATAAGAATTTGAAGTAATTCTCTTAAAAATAATGAAGTTTTAAGATGAGCATTAAATTTTAATATGGCAACCAAGCCCATTAAACTCAGAATGAGCAATTCGATTCGTCTAAAACTCAAATGAGCATTTGGTTTCCAAGATTGTTGTACTCAAAATGGGTCATCATCTACTGCTACATCAACTTCGGTAAGAATACTGTCAAGAATTCCCTATACTCATGATTTTTTTCAAAAAAATAATCCATCTTTCTTTCTTCACCATTTTTCAAAAGCAAATTGGATCGATTGCAACATAGATAAGTGAACTAATCACCTTTGCTGGCATTAGCCATTGTTTGGCATAGATTAAAACCACATTTTCAATAGATTTTGATTTAAAAATGATAAAATATGTTGTTAAAAGTTGTAGATCTCATGAAATGTGTGGTTAAAATTAATTGATAATTTTGTTTTGAAAGAATTAAACTATATAAGTGGAATTACTTCAAAGTTCCTTTGCCTTGATTAAGGTTATAAAATCCAGCTTATATACGAATAGACCTTTAATGAAAAGTAAATTTTGATATAATATAAAAATTATGTTGAAAATAAGATATAACTAAGAATTTTGCTCCAAGTACAGGACTATATTTCACAGGTATTTTACAGGGTCCTCACCATGGCGTGGGCCCCACCTATGTTTAAAAAAAAGAAAAAATCATGCAGACCCCACCAGTGTCTTGTCTGTAAGTGCCCTGCGAAAATTTTCTCATTCATATAAATAAATACTTTATCATCTTTGACGAGTCGAACTTATAAACAAAATGGCGAAGTAAAATTCCTTCCACTATGTAGTAAATTATCCCAGTAATTAGCCCATGTTTGGCAACTATAAAAATAAATTTTTTTCTCAAACTCATTTTCAACTACAAATTCTCATAATTATATATTTTGCATGTATATTCGAAACTTTTTCATACATTTTAACTACACATTTTTCAAAAAATTACCGTCTAAAACTCATTTTTTATCAAAAAAAAAAAAAAATTTCAAAGATTGTCCGGGCTAAAAGGTAACAGCTACAATATACATAAGCTAGTTCACCGCTGGTAAAGGTTGACAACCTTTACCAGCACATGAAACAGTTTTTTGCAGTCAAAACTTGATCCACCTCGAAAAGTGTGCCATGCCCAATTTGTTTCAAGCTGTAAATTCCAGAATAGTTGGTCCCTCATATTATAGACTAGAACCTTATTCATGTGTGTATATATATTTTATATTTTTATCACATACGTACAATGTACATTATACGTACATCTTGATGATTTAAAAACTCCGGCACCCGATTTTTCTGACGTCCGATTGACCCACAGGCTGCTCAGTGACTCTTCTTTATGCTGGGCTGGTGGAGACCTCTAACTTCTGTCATGTGGCTGTGGGGTTTTTAGGGTTCTTAAATACTATTAATTCAAGTAAAAGTTAGACTCACTAAAGTTTTTCGATTTTTTTAGGTTTCTTTAGTTTTGTAAGTATTGTTCAGCGTAAAACATAAGTCTATATTCGATACTTTCATTCATGCACCACCTAAAGCACTTATGTCAACCCTGGAACAAATTCTGCTTGATAATGCACTTAACATCTTGCTCCATGGACAAGACTGGTAAAAGAAATTGACCCAAATTTTGTAACTCGTAATTTCGTTAGCTCGATCGAGTTGTTCTAGTTCATTTAGTTTGAATACAACTCGACAAGACTTGTTGAAACCCTACTACGCAAATAACACATAAATCAAATTTGTAGGTAAAAGATTTTGGGCATATATCGAGAAACTTATTTCTTGGGTGGGTGGGATGTGATCTCATCTGATCATCAAAGAGATAGCCCCATTATTCGAAGGGTCCTGATTTGATGTAGGCAGTGAATATGCTTGATGATGCTTTTTCTTGCCAGCAATAATTATTCAAGAATTTCTTGGATAAAGAAGATTGTTTTTATAAAAAATGGAATGATTTTGGCAAAAAAAAAAAAAGTTCACCAATTTTGTGATAAAATATTGAACAACTTGTATGTGTGTGTGTATATATATCCCTTGCCACAGGCACAAGCGTCTGTTCCCAATATCACTATCTTATTCCCTTTACCCTTCATCTCTTCTTCCCAGACCAAATACTATTATTAGCAGTTTCTTTTCTTTACTGCACCTTCTGATAAAACTCTCAGTCTACACACTCTTTTCACCTTACCCATCCCTCTATACTCTGAAATTGCAACACTTTTTCTTTCCCGAAACCCTTATTTTCATTTCTCTTTTGAGGACCCTATAAATATAAAGGGGAACCGAACAAACCATGGATATTGACTTCATCAAGTCTGCTTCAGATAATGATCAGATGGAAATGATGCTGATGCAGATGGACAAACTCTCCGAATTCTCCGGCCCCTATGCCGATATCAATGATATGTCGTTGATGGAATACGGGGCTCATAATGGAACTAACATTGGTTCCATCCCACAGGTTGTTGATGATAATTCCGCTTCATCATTCGTGAACCTGCCTAGTAATATATCGTTTTCAGGCTTGGGCTCCCCGACTATTCATCAAGATCCATCGACTATGCCATTCTTACCTAATTCAAGTGGCGGGAGATGGAAAACTGTGGGTGATGAATTTGCAGGGAGGGCAGTACAGAAGCGAAATTCAATGGCTGCAATGAGGGAGATGATTTTTCGAATTGCAGCAATGCAGCCAATCCACATTGACCCTGAATCAGTGAAACCACCAAAGAGAAGAAATGTTAAGATATCAACAGATCCTCAAAGCGTAGCTGCGCGCCATCGAAGAGAAAGGATAAGTGAAAAAATAAGAATACTTCAGAGACTTGTTCCTGGTGGAAGCAAAATGGACACTGCTTCCATGTTAGATGAAGCAATTCACTATGTCAAATTCTTGAAAAACCAGGTGCAGTCCCTCGAACGAGCCGCTGCTAATAGGCCAACCGGGA